TTACCGTCTGGCCTTCTGGGACGAACTCCTTGTGGATAATCCCAGCTGAATCAAAGAAAGTGATTAGCATTGTTTTCACTTTTGACTTCTGCATGCGCACTTTTTTTGGTGTTGGTTCTTCTGGAGTCTTCTGAACTGAGCTCTGATGCTTCGTGAGTGGCTCATATTGAAAACACCATGTTTCATTGCCAGTTATAATGGTTTTTAAAAAGTTTGGGTTATTATCGGCGATTGAAATGATGTCTTGAGCATGCAGCACTCTGGCTTGCTTTTGATCGTCGTCCAATGAGTGCGGAACAAATCACGCACAGACTTTTTGCCGCTGCAAATCTTCGGTCAAAATGCGGTAAACTTGTGATTTACTGATGCCTATGATATCCTCAATGAATCTCACGGACATGCAACGGTCGCTTTTGATCAAATCACGCACTTTTTCCACTGCTTCGTCTGTTCGACTGGTCAAAGGGCGCCTGCTGCGTTCATCGTCTTCCAACGATTTTATACCATTCCGAAACTTTGCATACCACTCGTAAACTGTTGTACGTGATAGTGCTTGTTCCCCATAAGCCTTCCGCAACATCTCAAGCGTCTCCGTAAATGTTTTCCCCAATTTTACACAGAATTTGATGTTAGCTCTCTGCTCCATGGTGATTTCTCGATGAGTGTCATAAGGGTACTGTTACTTTTGGTGCCCTAGGCAATGACTCATTCGTCTTAGCCCAACCAAACTCAACAGAGTAATACATGAAGGTTCAATCAATAGAACGCCACCTTCTTTCAACAAATGGCACCACTAATACTGTCTGTATAGAAAAAGTTCGGATACTTTTGGGACACACCTTGTATATATATTACAAACTATGCTGATAATTAAATAACAACATAAGAAGAAAGACAGAAACATTTATGAAACATCTCTTTCAAGACTGTCTTAATCCCAGTCTTTTGACACATCACATTTCACATCTGAAGCATAATAACCTATTGACATATCATAATGAGAGTACAAGTAACATCCATTCGGGTCTATAATGAAATGCCGAAAGCAATAATGCCAAAAGCAGAAAATAATGAATGTGCAGAATAGTGAAAGATAAAAATGTGAAACAGCATGAATGTCGAATGCCTCAGTTCGCCGAAAGTTGAATACACCGATGGTAACACAATCTTGAAAAAATGCTGAAAACCCAGATGGATACGTGAATGAGAAGTCAAGACCGTTAGACAGGAAGATTCGTATCATACTGAGCTTCTATTCAACACAAGATGTTGTTACCACTTTCGAGAGTCTTTCGAGTGCCATCCCAACCGAAGAAGTGCCAATTCTCACGTTTTTCCAAAAATATTACATTGTTGGTAGGCGAACGCAAGGACATCCAAGAACATGTCCACCCTTCCCTCCCGCTCTGTGAAATGTTAGAGATTGTGCCGTCAATGACAACCTCGAACCACTAATAATTTTGAAGGTTGGCACAGGCGCTTTTCATCTATAGTTGGCAAAAGCCACCCTAACATCTTCGTCTTCCTGCATGAACTGCGAAAGTAGCAAGTGAACACTGAACGAGAAATTCAGCACTTGGAAGTCGGCCACCCTCCTAAAAATAGGAGATGAGAGACATCGAAGGACTCTAGGATCAAATGTGTTTGTGAGACCTATGGAACATGTGACCTAACATCCTATTTGAGGGCCATTGCTCACAATGTGCAACTAAATTTGCGAATTGGTCATTAGTTTCCTTGATCTCCCCCCCACTTCATCCCTTTCATCACTTTCATCCCTTTTAACTCATAGTTTGACATGTGATTTACTATTTTCTTGGAAAGTACATTACTACGTACCATTTTAGACAGGGAAATAAAATGTCTGGCATTTTTAGCTTTTGGCATTTTGCATTTAGTCATTTTAGCTCTTAGGCATTTCGAGCATTCTACATATATGCAATTAGGCAAATTGGAATTCAGCAAACTGGGATTTGTCATTTCGTTGTACACCGTATCCATTCATAACAATAAAAACACAGAACTAGCAAGAAATAGAATCAGCCCCTTAGAACTATGGGGGGGGGGGGGGGGTACGAGAGGCCCATCCCTTATATAATGAAAGTTACTGCCACACATGGAGTGAAGTTTTACCAGTTAATTTCTAAAGGTGTTAAGGACAATTACAATTTTTTACATATTTTCTTTCAAATTACAACATAATAATAAATGATAAAACTTATCCTGTGGCCCTTGTTGGCCTGCCCCCCACCACTTGTATTGCTAAGGTTAAAGAAAGTATGCAAGGGTGGCACTATACCAAATGGAAATATATAGGGTTGACTGTAATTGGATTCAGGAGAGTTCTTGGTGGGCCCCTAGGCCCCTAGTGGACACATGTTTAATCTATGGTGAAATGCCTGTATCTCATAAATCTCATAAATTCCCATTCACATTGATTTATGAAAATGAGTTATTATAAACTTATATATTGTATGGTATGGTCCCACTTTACTGACTGCTTATAAGCTGCAGCAAAGTTTTTCATATGCTAATTTTTCTAAGCCTACTTCAAAAAGGCACTTTGGATTCTGCTCACTTCATGAAGACAGAAAGTGGACAGAAGAAAATAATTAGTGAAACAAAAAGGAAACTGACACTCAGCATGAGTGTCAGATGTTTTGGTACTCCCTGAAATCTTTAGGGTTTCACTGTACTTCAGCTGGGATATCAGTTATTAATGTTGATTAATTTCTCTGTTTTATCTCTCTTCCTCAGGGATGCTTGGGAAGGTGGACATCTATGCAGACGTTTTTGGAGGAGGGCGCATCCTTCTTGAGAACTATTACTTTGCTCCATTTGCATGCGGGGATGAGATCAACCCAGAGAGAGGATACAATGCAAGGGCAGGGTCCTTGCGATTTGCCATTGCTAAGGCACTGCAGCCCTTTGTTGACTCCAATACCAGAGAGAGGATGCGCATTGGTGAGGAAGTACTCCATATTGCTCTACTCTGCTGCAACTCACACAATATATAGGTTTTCTTCAATGGAAAATCATATCCTAATGCATGCAAAGCATTCTGAAGCATTTCTGCTGTTGATTTTATTCTTGGTGCAGCCAAATATGCTAACAACTTTGCTCTCATTAGACCAGCTGAAATGTGCTTAGATGTGTACATCTTTTCATGAATTTTTTACAGCTGGCCTGCTGACCCAGGACATGCGGTTCCAGGAGAGGAACAAAGTGGGATGTGAAGGTGCAAGAAAGAAATGGACTTGGAAGAAGAGATGAACATCTTCAGTGTGGATAAGAGACAGAGTTGTAAATGTTACTGTTTTCTAGTTGGATATCACAGGCATTCACCTTTTAGACATCCCTGATGAGGAGTAAAATTTACATTGTGGTCCTGTGCATGAACCATGCCAACATATGGCCAAGCAAGAGCTGTATTTTGTCAATATCCTATTTGTGTCATATCAATTGACATGAGAAGGCTAATTTTTTTTTGTATGTGGCACAGAGGCATACATGCCTAATGCACACAAAGCTGTGTGCACTTGCCAATCATTCTTAATATTCACTTGTGTTCATTTGTTAAGTAAACCTTTCAAACCTTTAAATGAACTTTTCAATTAATTTTGCATGGCTTACTTTTAAGTACATCCCATGAATAGAGGAAAGGTAAGTAAGAAAAGCTATGCATGGAGGAGTGAGTCGCAGCACTGAAGTGCGTCATCTAAAGGATTCTGTGAAGCATGAATTGGCTGTGCTCCTTGATCAAGGAGATCAATGGAAGCTGTTCATGGAGCTGATTCCCAAGAACCTTAGTGATGCAGAATCCCCACCCAAATACACCCATAAAGACATCAGGTGATTTTCTTGTCCTCATGCCTTGTCATTCTTAACAGGTTCTCATAACTTACAACAGGTATGTGTCATCACTTTGGGTTATAAGTGAGAATCTAATTCGAAGTTCATCTTATTACCAATTAGACTTGAATGAGTTCCAGATAAATGTATTGCTAGTATTGCATTATTCTTTCATTCCTGTCTGAAGTTCATTGATAGCCTGATTAAATGTTTTTGTCTGCAAAATAAGTTATTTTATAAATAAATAGGTTTGGATTCATTGTATCTCTTTGCCAATTCCAAGGATGGTCCTTGTATTTAGAAAATTGAAATCAAACAACACAAAGCAGATGACCCACATCACTTTTGGTGTTTGTTAGTTCAGTTGCATTTAATTCCATGATACTATTCTGATGTTTATGATTGCTTAATGTGTTGACTGCCAAAGTAGTTTTGCTAATTCTTTTTTATGGTGCTATATGTCTTACTTACTGGCATGTCTTTCTGAAAGTTTTTATTTTACCCTTGGCATGGTACAAAACATGTAGTGACATGTGTATGTGTCACATGGCAGTCAATGTGTTGAAGTCTATTTTTGGATTTGATTTTATAGCATTATTGAGCAGGGAGCAAGCCAAGAAAAGCAGCTGGGGTTTGAGTTGTTGGTGGAGGAATGGGGAACAAGCGGACAATCCCGTCCCACTGTCGAGCATCTCCTTGACCTCCTTGTTCGGGGGGAAATGTTTGCACCTGCTGACTATTTAGCCATTGATGTCCTTAATGGTGACTCACTTTTCCATTCCTCCTATTGTCAACATGCTAGCTGTGCAGGCATTTTCATGTTGCTTTAGCTGTAAGGCCATATGTTCTGTTTGTGAGGCATGTGGCAGCTAATGTGTTATTGGGCTACTTTGGGAAACTATGTTGAGTGATGGGAAGTACTTCTGCAGAAATGATGTATAGATTTTGGTGTTTAGGTATTCAATGTCACTTGACAAGTGTTGAAAAATTGTCAGGAAGACAACAGTCTAATGATATCCTTTGAGTTAGACTTTAGTATCATGTAGTGCTCTAATCATTTTTCCAATATGTATATAAAGTCAAACTTGGTTATAATGTCATCAAAGGGACCAGGGAAAAATTATCATTATAACCAAGGTTGCCTTTATTGACAATCCATTTTCCTGTTTTCAGAATGGATGCTATATATTGTTACCACTCCAGTGTACATTTATCATGCTGCACTAGCCTATTTATAGCCACTAGCTTCAGTTTCAGGATTGACCCACTAATTGTGATGTTCACACTTCTTTGGACTGTGAACTATTTTATACTTTAGCAAGGCCTTGTTGACATCATCTTGACAGATCTATGAAATGCCTTGTTTTGTGACAGGTTCTCGTAAGCACAGCTGAAGCTGTCACAATTTTTGCAAATTGTGGAAACAGATGAACTGATATCTATGTTTGCGAGCAACATTTGCTTTACTTTGACCACTTTCTATTAAATTAATCATGCACACTTTCCTTTCAATCATGAAGGCTTGCCTCTTTCTCTTTCCACTGGCCATGTTGTCAACAAGAAATGCAAATTGAAACTGAAGATAAGATTATCTTTTTAGTTACTGAGGATTATCCTTTCCCAGCGGTGTAGCAACACATTTTGGGGCCCCCCGCAAACCTTAATTCTGAGACCCCCCTCCCCCCCAAAAAACTAATTTCCTCATGATAGGTTTGCTACTATTAATTTATTAATTTGTAATAAAATCTGATATTGAAGCATGACAAATCCGTAGATATGGCTCAGTTGGTCCTTTTTTAATGTCTTGAGTTGCATCCATAATGATAGAGAAAAATGGTGCACTATTGATATCCTGCAGTAGCTCTGTCTCCAAATTTTCAAGCCGATTCGGCATGGTTCTTAATTTTTCGTGAAAGTCCACACCAGTCACGTATGCCTGTAGACTGGGCTGAATGGTATTTGGAGTCTTTTCTGTTGGCAAACAGCCAATAGGGCTCACAGAAACCGGCGTCCAGTTTTCGGGAATGACAGCCAGGTTACTGGGATGGACAGCCCTGATTTCGTTGCGGTACTGAATATGATTCTGAGAAGGAACCGTCTTGAATTTTATCCCTGGAGTAGGGCCCCTTCGGCTGCCATGGTCCTTTCTCCAGTACAGGTTCCTTCGCTTTACATGGATTTGCGCATGCACGTTTTTTTTTTTGCTGCTAAAAATTCGGAAAGCATGGGGTGTGGTTTGTAGATACATGGTTTGAGTTTATTGAATTTTTGGTATTAAATAAAACCGTGCAAGTGCGCATCCGTGTAAAAAGAACCCGTGTAAAGCAAGGGAAGCCTGAATAAATCACTTCGTATGGGAGGTGACTACATCTGTTTGGAAAGTTTCCTCTCTCGGTTGGATGTCTCTCACGCAAAAGAGCATCAAACGAGACATGCAGTTGGAGGATTCGGGCCTCCTGACACTGGCTCGCTTACGTCTGCTAGAGTCATGTCCATTTCCAGTTTAGGAGTGTCTGTCCCGATGTCCACTAATGGTGGGTTGATAATCTGACGGTATTAGGAGTCAACCAGCCATGGGCGATTACTACCAATTTACTTATTTATTTATTTATATGTTTCTGTATAAATTTGTTTACATTAGGGTAAATGTGGCATGGTTGGGCCCCCACTGGGCTTGGGCCCCCCGCAACTGCAGGGCCGCTTGGGCTGTTGCTATGCCACTGTCCTTTCCTCACCTTCTTCCACATGACTCGCAAGGAATGCCGATTCCAGGAAAGATTAAGTTATGGCTCACCAATGCTCATTTTTCTGATGATGGAAATTCCAGTTTAGAATGACAGATTAGGGACATCATTGTTGTGAATTTCATCAGTGGGACCTTGAATAGACTTCATTATAACAGGTTCTTGCTGTAACTGAGGTAAAATGTAACATGGCTCATGGGCTTTACACCAGGACCTGGCGCTTTTCGTCATTATAACCGAGGTTTTGTTATAACCGAGTTCAACTGTACAGTATATGGTACAAAAATGCTGAACCTAGTAAATCTGTGAATCAAATCTGTAAAACAATCTACTTCCGAAGATAGTGGGATAGTATGACCTCACATGGTGAGGTCATACAGGAGGACATGCTGAGGACATTATAAGTCATAGGTCTATAGAAAGAGCTTGGAGAGAGCTTTCATTTGTCATAGATTTCAAGTTTCTATCCAGTTTGAAACAGGAAATATAAGTTTCCATATCCAAAATTCATCAAGATTGTTAAACTCCTTGGTGCTTTTTTTTTTGGGCAATGAGTTTCCTCTGATACATTAAAGTGATGTAATGCTGTGGCTATTCAAACCAAAAATCTTGTTCTTTCTTCAGTAACAACAAAACAAACAATGGACAAAAATTACATTTTAAAAATTACTTAAGCATAACCCTTTTTGCTCTGTTTTTCCACAACACTGCAACCAGTAGCAAACTCAGTTCAACAAGGGAGTGGAATGGGTTAGGCATTGTGTTACATTGGCTTTTCAGAAACTCCAAGTTATTGTCCAAAGGAAAATGGTTTTCCAGTCCATTTTTTAAAACAATAGTTCAAACTTCAACTTGTATCTTCTGTGAAGTAACTTCCACATGACAGAAAGATGGCAGTTTGAGTCCCACCTATGAATCCAAATGCATCTCCCCTTATTCAGCAGTTGGGAAAAAATTGTATATTTTTTTCATGGAATTTGCCCCGTGTATCAGGATCACTTATCAGGTGGGTGAAAGATTGTTTTGTGGTTAAAAAATAGTTTCCTTTTTGAACATGTGCTATGTTTCTGGAGATGATTGAAGTTGGTCAAGATTGCTGTAATAACTAAGGGTCTTTAGCTGAAAGGACATGACTGAATGACAAACATGCATTAGCCAAAGAGTATTACCAAATACTTGCAATGCCTATGAATAAAATGTATGACACTTGAAATATCAAATAAATTCGAAATTTTCATATTTTGTTGAAATTAAATCCTTTTGGTGGAAGCTGTTTTTGTCAAAAGATTGAAATACAGAGAAAAAATGAATTTGTATCAACAATGGGGTTCTCTGTGTGCTTTGAGGTACTTAAAAAAATGTCAAATTTGGAATCATTTGTTTCATAGCACAGTCAAGGAAGTAAATGATTTTGTCTTATCTGAAAATCTTCTCCCCACATTTCAGATTGAAAAATTATAAGAAAGAAAGAGACAAAACACAACAATACCCATAAGCATGTGTATTTTTCAGATTTTTCGTGTTCCTATCAATCTCTGACTATTCCCTCCTTGAATGTAACCATGTCCAACTTGGAAATAACATGCATTGTTGTTGACATTTATTTCCGAAGCTATGATTAGAAGGCATATAAATGCATTTTTCCTGAACAATGACAATGCCCAATATACAGGGTGTGATATAACCTTAGACACAGACATGATTCAAAAGTGCATTGTACAGTATTACTACTTCAGTTAATAACCAGAGCATAGCTGAGTAGGAGCCAGACAGCAAAAATGAAGAAAGTAAAACTGGTATTTTTTCACCCTTGTAAGCCTGCAGCAGTATGAACCTTTCAATTCCCAGACAATGATCACATTTGCTTTGCCCTTCTGTGGGCCATTTTTTATCTGGGAAAGCTGATATTTTCCAGATATTTTTTTTAAATCAAATAAATAACACAGAAACACAAATGACAGATTTTGTTTTTCTTGGTCAAAAATTGTATGTACGTTAGGTGGGAAGTATGATTCCCTATAGGTATGAAAAGAAAGAGTGTGGAAAGTCTAACAAAATTTTATTACAGTGATTTAAGTTAGACTTTCTCTACTCTTTCTGCCTGGTGTTTTCAGTCAATCTTCTGACTAGCAGCATTAAAACATTTTCCCCTTAGATTTCTTGAAATTTTTTGTACAAGGTGTCCATAAAGGGACTGTCTATGGATTTTATGGATAACTTTCCATTTATTGCACTTAAATTAACCCATTTCTTTGGGGTTTAAACTGAAATAAATTCTCAGTCACAGCAAAATGGAATAATGAAAGATGTGACATCATTCTGAGGTCTGCAAATAGTCAGTCTGCAAACACAATAAATAGTTGTCTTAGATTTAATAGTGAAATGGTTGCCCTTAGCTTGTCACCTTGTGGACACTGTCCATGCAGTGGAATATATTTGTCTGCACAGCCAAAGAGGAGCCTGTGACTTCAATTTCAACTCAGTTTAGTTTTCTCTTCTCCTCTTGTGGGGACCATCTAATATTGAACCTATTAAGCAACTGTACTGACTGTATTAATCATGGGTATGACAGGAGTGCCACAATAGTAGGAAGTGGGTTATAACTGTCAAAGTTGCTGGACTGTTACTCCTTGGGTACCAAGACTCTGCATCAGTATTTTATTGTCTCCTTTTTACAAATTTTGGAATAAATGAGTGTGTTGGATTTCAGAGGAGGCACCAGATCGGCCTGTGAAGGGCCCAGCTGCCAAGATTCCCACCAATGCCACAACTCACTTCTCAGATTCTCCTCAAATGTTCATCACTGAACATGATTCTGAGGTGCCCCTTGGTAAGTTCAACATGTGTCACATCACATCCCATACTATACAGGGTGTCCCAAAAGGTATGGAAAATTTTCAAAAATTAATATCTCTCTAAAATATACCTCAAATAAAATGATTATAACAGTAAAATGAAGTGCAACTCAAACATTTTTCAACCTGTTATTGCAATTCCACATGGGCACCATTTGTGATTCTATAGATGTCTAAGTGATGTTTAAGCTCTTACCACACCTTTTGCAGAGTATACACATAACTATCAGGATAGCTTGGACAATTTAGTTCTTTGGATCTTGATCGATTGTCTACTTTTCTCCAGTAAGTGATGTCATTGACATAGCCCACAAGAATAAGTCCTTAGGGTTAGTTCAGGTGATCTTGGTGGCCATGGAATGAACCTGCTTTGTCCAATCCACAGATCTGGGGGCTTTTTTTTTCCATGCCTTAGCTTGCTAATATGTGGAGTTGCAACATCTTAGAAAAATTACACTTTTATTATGCCTGAACCCTTCCCTCTTGGATTTTTTTTTTCTTGTGGGGCTATGTCAAGGACAGTCTTGAGTAAGCAATCTCCAATCTGATCTGAAGAACAGAATTGTTGCTGCTATCCAGGCAGTTATACATGACACTCTGAGTAAGTTGTGGTAAAAGCTTGAACATTGTTTGGACGTCTACAGGGCCACAAATAGTTTCCATGTGGAATTGCAATAACAGGTTGAAAATGTTTTAGTTGCACTTCATTTTACTGTTTTCATTGTTTTATTTGAGGCATAACTTAGTGAGATATTAATTTTTGAAAAATTTCCATACCTTTTGGGACACCCTGTATTGTATTATGTGGCAGATTAGTTAAGATCATGGGGATTTCTTTTACATCTTGTGTGCATATGAAACAAGCCTCTTTTTTTATTTCAGCATATTTTCATATAAAACTTTTTTATTTTTTACTGAAGTGTTTTGAAAGATTACCCCTGAATCCCATTGAGAAGGCATGTATGAAGAAACTTTTAATTACCTCTGATTAATGAGATTGTGAGAATCTCTTTGTCAAATTTTCTGACAACCCTTTGATCAGATTGTCAGTTCAATATTTTATCCTGTAAAATTTTTACATTTTACTGTTTCTTGAAGGATGTCTCAGTGATATTGCTGGCTTCACTCATGTGCTTGCAGAAGCTGGGAACCCAGTGCTAGGAAATGTAATCCCAGCCGACTTGGAGGTGGAGTCCCATCTCTCCCAGATTCCATATTCAGTGTTGTCACAAGTCACAAATGGCTTCCAGGAATCCCCATTGGAGAATGGAGGTCGGAAGATTGGACAGGGGGCATTTGGCTCTGTATTCCTTGGCATCTTTGGTGATGGGAAGAATGTAGCTGTGAAGAAACTTCTTCCTCCCATCTCTTCCAAAGTTCTGGATCAGTTCAAGATGGAAATCCAAGTTCTATCCATGTATGCCCATGACATTGCATTGATGGTCTATTGAAAAATTAAAAGCTGGAACTTTGAGATCTGCAGAAGGCATTGTCACCAATGAGACTCCAGAATTTTTAACCCTTTCACAGTCCAATTTTCCAAAACCTCCTCCATGGAGGACAACTGATATTTCAGTGTGTGACTGTGAAAGGGTTAATATCTTTTATTTGTGTGCCAAAGAGCCCCTTGTGCATAAATTTACATTATGATTTCATGCAAATTTCATTAACCATTCCATCTAATGGTATTTTTCCAATTTCTTTGTCATACTGCAGATGAACTGTCATACATTCCACACCTATACTGGCTTGCAAATAAAAAATAATTTTGTTGAATCAACTCTTCATATGAAGAAGTTGATTAAGTCCCTGGAATTATATTGTTATATCAGATCTTCATTTTATCAGAAGAGGGTCATATATGTCATTTTAAAGGTGAAAATCCATTTGATGTTCATGCTTACATGATTACATCGCCCAATGGATGTGTTTGGTTGCCAAGGCCTTTTGAATGTGGTGCAAATGGATAGCTTTGAAAAGTAAAAGTCTAAAAGCCTAAAAGCCTTCCCCTCAAAATCTTATTAAACCATTTGGTGTCCACACCCAAGTCAACCGGTGTTGGCCTACTACCAAGGGATGGAAAAAACTCAGATTGACTATACCAACATATTCAAATTACTCAGATGCCAACTGGTAACAAAAAAAAAACTCAAATGGGATGAATGGAGCAAAGGAACCATGATCTCTCCTGATAATAAAGGAGTTGAGTGTGAGTACCAAAGTGCTCTGTCCACTAACTCTTTCACATGTTCATATTTCTCACTACATGCACATGCACATTCATATGGTCAAGTGGATGGAAGTGAGGATTCACTCTTCTGTGATTCTTCTTGCCCTCCTGACTGAGGGAAAGTCATTCATTTCAGTGTCCTTTCTGTTTGGGGACATATAATTCTTCCATTCATTATAACTGAAATTTCAGAAATAACACATTTTTAACACAGGTGGCTTGTTAACAGAGTGAAACCCCTCAAAATGGCCATTTTTTTGCAGAATGGAATTTTCTTTACTTCAAAATAGAAACCCTATGAGACAACTACCTATTGAAGAGACCATTTTCATATGGAACCATGAGTGGTCTGCACAAGGAGCTTGCACTGTATATTTGATCAAGCAAAGTCATGTTTTCAGTATGACCAGATCCTAATTATATCCATTCTCTGTATTCTGAGTCAACTGTAGATTCTAAGATATCTCTCAATTGGGCAGGCAATTAAGAATGAAGGGATAGGGATTGGCAATATGCTGATGAGCTTGATTTGTGTTAGGTATATGCATGAAAACGTGTTGCCTCCCCTGGGGTATTCGTGTGATGGGCCTGCTCTTTGTCTTCTCTATGACTACATGCCTTGTGGGAATTTGCTGGACCGTCTTGCCTCTAATGTGAGCCTCATCCACTTTTCTGATACATCAGTTCTATCAAATTTTATGTTCAGGGATTTTTTAAATGTGGATTTTATGGTAATTCTTTTGGCTTTTTTGTAATTGCATCAACAAAAGTTTGTGCAATTCCTAAAGAGTTACATTTATTTTCTCTACCTTTAACTAGAATGCAAGAAAAACCCATATTGATTAAGTAGGCCTTTGTAAAGCCCTCTGTTATGTACATTATCTTCATTGGCATTCTTTTTATTTGTACTCCTGCTGTAAGAAATATGGAGCTTTTCTATCAGGTCCTTCAATCAGGTTTCTTTGTTCCAAACATATGGATTTTTTTGCCTGGTAGTCCTGTGAGTATTTTTCTCCATTCTTGAGACCTAGATTAACCCTTTGCAGTCCAACCTCATCCCTGGGATGAAATTGAGTCAATGTTGTCACGTTATGATAATAATTTTGCTCAATGGAACAGTGCTATTCTTTTGCATGTTTATAGGCGTTATTTTTACTTCATCAGATGGCTAGAAATTACTCAACTGAAATAGAAATAATAAAACCTCATTCGAACCTATTTCAATAAAAAACAGTGTAAAAAATTGGACTTTTTGGCCTGCAAAACTTAAAAGTAATAGGACTGCAAACGGTTAAGAATGTATTGTCATCATTAGCTATTGATAAAAAGTTTGTGTAAACTAAAGTAGATGCAATTGGATTTGGGTCTGAGACATCAAATACTGATACAGCAAGTAGTAACTTTTACTAATTGTGTTTGAAAAGTGTAACTTGTAATTTCTACAAGTGTGATATTTTTTGTACCTCATGGCTAGAACCAGTTATAAGGTACTTCAAGTTAGCCAACTCTACATTTTGCATCTTGTGAAATAAAGTGAAGCCATTAATGTGATTACTTATGAAATCTTACCATGGATCCTATAATTGTTACTGGGTGGTGGTTACCAATAGGTCTATTTTTGGAGAAAGTGGCTCTATCTCTAATTTTGAATGTATATAGGGAGAAGATATGATTCTGAGTTGGAAAGATAGAGTGAGGATTGGCATGGGCACAGCTGCAGGGATTGCATTCCTTCACACAAATGGAGAAAAGCCCCTCATTCACCGGGATGTCAAATCTGCCAACATCCTTCTGGACTGGAATCTCATCCCCAAGGTAATATACCAAAGCCATCTCAGTATTGGAAATCCATATGTTTTCATCTCATCAGTGTAAGTGTAATTTGTTTAAATGAAAGCATTTCACTAAAATTCCTTTAACTTGACAAAATTTTCAACCTAGCTTGACTGCAGTCCTTTCTCATAAAAAAAAATCATCTAATACGTTTTCAGCCCAAATATTCTGTCAGTTTCACCACCACTTTGGAGATTGAGGCCAAAATGCTGAAACTTCATTCAGGCAAGATAAAGGGGCTTTTAAGCCAAAGATCACCCATTGGTCCACGTATTCATAAAGGACTGTTAAAGGTTTCAACATTCTGGCCTTAATTTTTGAGCTACCTATGATGGATGTGGTTGATTTTGAGAGTCTCAGTTGGCAGATTGTAGCCTGGCACGGCTAGGTCCATCTGGACAAACTGAATCTGTTGCCATGACAACCACCATTATGGGGACACCTGTATACATGGCTCATGAAGCATTCCGAGGACAGATCACTGCTGCCATGGACACATTCAGCTATGGCATTGTATGAGTCTCATGTTCTTGTATCTGTTCTACTTCAAGATGAAAAAGTCTTGCAACACTTCATGATTTACTTCATGTGTGCATTGACATGTTAGTCAATGCATACATTGTTCCTGTATGTATTGACATGTTGTCACTTAATTTAAGGCAGTAGAAATGTGAATGTTGACTCAATGAATCTGTATTTCCTTCTAAATATTGAATTGGATATTATTGCAGGTATTGTTTGAGTTGATCAGTGGCCTCCCACCATATGATGTCAAACCAGATGGTGATTCCCAGAGAATGGACCTGGTAGGTACATCAGTAAATTTCTGTTTTGACTTCCAGTTTGTCTAGTTACTATGATCCAGGTACTTCAATACTCCTTCTGAATTGTATTTATCTTGTCTGATAATAACCAGAAAGAGGTTGATCTGATTGATCACCATGAACATTGGCTTGCAGATGTATAACAGCAAGATACAAGCAAACTTTAAATTGTGGCAAAATTATTGCCAAAAGCAAGATTTATATACGAAATTATTATTTTTCTAAATTTGCTTACAGCAAGAAAGGCTTGAGCAACCATCCTGGATCTAGACCTCAAGGTGCTTCCATAGCACTCGCCCTGGGTTGGGGTGCTGTTTTGCTAACCAGAGCTGTCAGTTCCTTTCCAGCCTCCATAGCTCATGGATTAATGTCGACAGAAGGGGAGGGGGGATTACAGTACTTTCATGAAGAGTTCACATACCCTTTCAAAGCAAACTATTGCTTTCTATGAGCCTACCAACACCAGCAGAAGTAATGTTTCTTCTGGTCTTATGTCTTACATAACTATTATTCAGTAGATATAGTTGAAACATAGGTAGCAACATTGCCCTTGTGGGGGTGTATGAACTCATCACAGAAGCACTGTAGTAAATGACATCATAGTAAGAATTGCTTGCTGAATTTGTGCAAGTCTACTTGTCATACTCTCCTCTAGGGATGGGTTATAGTGTTAACTATGGTCAATAAGGCCAACTTTCATTTTGTTTTTTCCTGCACAGTTTGTGCTCCATTTTTATGTCATGACTCATAAGTGCATATGCATGGGAAGTTGATTGGTCAACATAGTCACTTCTGACCATTTATGGACAATGGTCAACCAGCTCAACAAGAGGTTAGGCCTTATGACTGTATCTATAGTATATTTCAGAGTGTTTGTCTGTCCTTTATGCACAGCCATGCCTCTGATCCCTGTCCAATCAAACTTTGCATGGCTTCCTCATTTGGTCCAGAGATGGTCATAATTTTGATATTTCAAAATTTGGAACCCCCCCCGAGGCAGGGCCGGCCCTAGATCAAATGTGCCCCATGACGCTCCATGCAAGGAGCATCTTCCCCCTCCCTGCCTCAGGCAGTCGTCTGCCCCTAAATCCAGCCCTGCCCCAGGGTACCTTATTTAGTGTAAACAAATATGGGACATATACAATATTCACCCATGCAATGCCAGGTACCTCTGCTAGTATGATCATATATGACCATGTTGACCAGTCAACATCTCATCACTAAGATAGACTTTTACCATATAGATTTGGAACATTAAATAGTAATCAGTCATGTTTCAGAGGTAAATTCTGTGACTAGGTAGCTCCTTAAGTACTCTTAATAAGGAGGAATGCAAAACATAGTTTCCAGAACTGGAGTTTCATGGTTTCTGGTATTTGCATTTATTTCTGTTCCTGCCAGAAAAAATAGCCCTGCCTTGCTCAAGGAAGTTCTTCATAGCTGAAGCTCCATAGCTTCAATTTTTTTGGCCTAGGCATAATCAAAGCACTTGTCCCTTGATCAGACTCTGAGAATGATTTGATACTCTGATGCAGACTATTGGGCAAGACCATTAAACTGAAGTTCTAAAGCTGTAACTTAGATCTTGAACCTTAACTTCCAAAGTCATTAAGGCTGGAAGGCCTAGAACAGCAGGCTATGCCTAAAACACACTCTACACCACTCAGGTGAGAGGTCCTGGTAGTTTGAGCATTTGCTAAAATATTTTCTTACCAAGCAGGTGCCATGGTCCAGATGTTTGGCAGGCGGCATGAATATAACTTTAAAAAGAAACTGGCTCTTTGGTTTTAGTGCTGGAGGATAAATGACCACAGTTATGAACTCTATAAAAATGTCTTAATTCACTGAAAAAAAAAGAAGAGCAATCAATAACGGTCAATTAAAAGGTGGTTAATTGATCTCCCCATCCCTACTCTCTGCTCTTCTTCCAACCTCAATCTACCTGCCACATATTCCTCCTGTTCCCAACAGTTAATGAAAGGAGCCCCATTACTGACTTGGACTTGTCAAGCTATGGGTCATTCCATGTCAAATCAACATGGAGGACATTTTTCAGGTGACCCTCCTCAGATTTGGATGATATTTGGTATACCTATCAACAATGGTGAGAAACTAATTCACACAAAATATTGGGTTCATTAGACCCTTGGTTCCTTTGGTATGAGGTCACAAAATTTGAGGCTGAAATGCCTTTTTCCATACCCTGATATAGTCTTCTCCTTGAAACTCTGGTCCTAATTATGCTAGAGAGCTCATCTTAGGCTCATTTTTTTAGTTCTTTTCCAGTCCTTTCCATTGGTACTGATACACTTTGAGAAATGCTAAAAGTTACCATTCAATAAGGTCATCATATTGATGATCTTTGACCTCACATTGCCAAAACACCCCCCTTGAATTTTGATGAGAATCGGATGAATGGTAGATAAGACATATGGCTCTATATCACATTTTAACTTGGGCATTTGGTAATTTATGGAGATATCAGGCCATTTGCATGAAATTGATTAACGTGAATATTCAACATTATTATGGGCACCTATGGGAATGCATTTAACAGTGTTATTTCCATTGAATTCAAAGTAAAAATGAGCACTTTAAACTTCATTTTATTTCATGCATACAAATGCAGCATGTGCATGCTTAGCTCCAAAAAGACTTTGATGACAGAATTATGGAATCCATCAGCATTAGGTGTCAACAGATAGATCTTCTCTGGACACAGAGGTGAAAAGCACTGAGGAGTTTCTGGATTACTTCCTTGAAAAGACTTTCTTGAGAAAACATGCTTTCATTGCCAGCAGCAATCTTCATTTCTTCAGGAGACAAAGGAAAACCTTGCTGAGGAGGAAGTCATTGTTATTCTAGATTTTGCAGAGAACTACTCCTTTGTTCTTCAAGATGCTGCACAAGGATTCCATTGGAATAATAATCAGGCTACAATTCATCCTTCTGTTTGCTATTTTAAGATGCCTCACAAAGATGTGAATGATGGAAATGAACTGCAACACTTGAGCTTTATCATCAAATCCAATACTCTTATGCATGACACAGTTGCAGTTTATACCTTTCAGAAGCTTCTCATTTCACTGTTGCTTGAAGAGGAGGCAACAGTTGGCCCTATCAAGATTACCTATTTCTCAGATGGTGCAGCTAGCCAGTATGAAAATAAAAATGAATTTCTGCAACCTCTGCTTTCATGAGGCTGATTTTGGAATTCCAGCAGAGTGGCACTTTTTTGCCACATCACATGGCATAGGGCCATGTGATGGTGTGGGTAGCACAGTCAAAAAGATTAGCTGCAAGAGTGAGCCTCTAAAGACCATATGATCTACAAATTCAAACTCCCCAAGATCTCTTTTTGTGGGCCATGGAGAATCTGAGAACTACAAGATTTCAGTTTGTCCTCGAGACAGAGATCAAAATAAACACAGAAGCTCCAAAGATGGTTTGCAGGCATACAGCCAATTCCTGGAACGTAAAACCTTCAGTGTTACATTCCTCTATCTTCTACTATCATCAGAGTGAAACAATTTTCAAAGTCAAGCACATTTGCAGATGTCAAGTTCAACACTCCAATGGAGATGTCATATTCAAGCATCAGAGGGTTTGTGAGATGTGAATATGGAGGACATTGGTATCTTGCATATGTTCTTGAGAAATTTGAAGACAATGAGGAAATTCTTGTTTTTTTCTTCATCCACATGGTCCAGCCCCTTCGTTTTTCTATCCTCACAAATCTGATGAACTAAGAGTACATCATAGTCAAGTCCTTTCACTCATGAATCCCTCAACAGAAACAGGACGTACCTACAAACTGTCCAATGACAAGATGGTGGATGCATTGATGTGTCTTCACAAGAACAAGAAATAGAGAATATACCATCAAGAAGATCTTATGACTTGGTTCTGTGATTAGTGTATTGATTTCTTTTTATTGTATTCCAGTTCTCTGTAGTGCATTCAACTGGAAGGCATTAATGAATGCAAGAATATTAATGTAGCAATCACTACTTTTACTTGTTATTCTAGAACTTCTGGAAAGCCCAAAGTAAAATTTAACACAGAGGTAGCCACATGTCTTGCCTGCAAACCAACCAATTTTTTTTCAAAATCTAAAATGGTTGTTTTTTGTAATGTGAGGTCAAAGGTCATTACCATGACCTCTTCACTTAAAATTAGCACTTAGCAGTTAGCCAAAAATTAGTAATATCTCTGGAAAGGATGTGAAAAGAGCTTTCAAACAATCCCAAGAAGAGGTCTCTAGCACAATTAGGGCAGAAGTTATGAAGAGAAGACTGTCTCAGGATGCAACTGGAAGGCATTTAAGCCCAAATTTTCATGACCTCATATCTGAGGAACAAGAAGTCAAATGAATCCAATAATTGCTGTGAATCACTTTCTAATAGGTACAAATAAGCCTGCCAAATTTCATTCAAATCAGAGGTCACCTTTTAACACCATATTGATTTGACATGGAATGACCCCTATACATAGTGGGAAGTCTTTCCTAAGCAATTGGTTAAGCTTAGAAGAGATAAACTTACTCAATATACAGGTACTTGTACTTTCACAGAAACAAAGTGCATGAGTTCTTGAGATTCATAATTCTCAGGTAGAACTGTTTAAGCACATGAGGGTATCAGGTTCAGTCAGGAATTTTTCTTTCAAGCGGGAGTACATGGAGTCAAGATGTGATGAAGGTCGTGTCCTCAATGCATCAGTGGCTGATACACGTGCAGGATCAGTTAGTGACCATCTTGTGATATCTCTGCTTCAGCTGGCCTTTGAGTGCATCAAGTTCAAAGCAAACCAGCGACCATCAATGACAGATGTCCATCAAAGACTCCTTGACCTCAGCTCCATTACATGAAGTACTTTACCCTTTCAATGCTGTTTTTTTTTAGGCAGCACCCCATATGCAAGTGTATTCCAGGTTCTTTGTTTTAAGTGAGATGGTACTAATTTTAACTGTGCACGTTCCCCTTAGAAGTGAAAGTAATGAATTGATGTCAGATGAAAGCCTGATTGGCTAGATTTACTAACACTGCAGTATGGACTAAGAATGGTACATACTTGAATTGATGAACTATTCATTGAAAATAAGCTCATGAAGACCATCTGCAAGAGACAATCAGTCCCATGAATGAATTTAAAGGGAAGAGGAGTTCAACGTGGTCTGGATGACCAGGAGGAACAGCATGTTCAAGTGTTTCCTCCACTCCACTACCAAGCAGGAGCTCTTGTCCATTCTCAATGTCTAACTTATTTTCAATAATTCCTGATAATATTGCTTCAGATAAAAAAATTCAGATGAAACTTTGCAAATCCATTGGAGGCATACTCGTATATACAAAGGGAAAGTTTCACAAAAATGGCTCCAGTGCAAGCAGTGATATTTATATCAAAAGTTGTTGGTTCTTTTCTGCATACCCATTATGTCAGAAGCATTGAAAGAGTTTAAAGACATCAATATATTTGTCTATGTGAATTGCTAAGGGCCTGGACAGAATGGGAACTTCTCTGTAGATTGAGGGGTTGTATCACCAATCTCCAAAATAAAGTAAGGTATTTTTATAATTTTTTGGAATTTTCATTTTCTCACCAACCCATTTATCATGTTTGCCAGTCCTCAGTATGAAGTTGAACACTTGCAACAATATCATTAGGTACAGCTCATGGTCTGAACAATGATTCAGCCCATATTCAAGCATTGATGACCTTGCTGAGTGACTGATTTGACCCACTATTGACATGAATGGAAACAGCTTGGATATGGTAATCCCTCAACTCTCTCCAGCCCAAATTATGTTTTAGGCATGGGAAACATATTCCCATAAACTTTTCTGGGTTCAACAAGGCATAGAAAAACATGCACACACTAATGTAATACATTTTGAAAAAATTTAAGTGAATTACTTGAAAAGAAATAAAATAATGCAACTTCATTGGTTTGCTAGCAATTAAGTCCTCATTTTCTATTGTATGTTTCTCAACATTTCTGTTCTATTTTCCATATTATAACTAGGAAAAACCCTTTAAAAAAAATAACCAGGAAAAGATTTTTGCACAATACGCCTAAATTTTCAAGAACCTCACATTTTTTGTCCCTTTAATCTACTCATGATGCAGGCAGACTCAACTGACACATTGTGAGGAAATCCTAATTCATCTGAAAATTAGGTGGATTCTAGCTATCCTAAAGGACTCCTGGATTGCACATTACAACCATTAGACCATATATCACATGCAAACCCTTAATTTTGCTACTCAAAATTTTATTTCAAAATGGGAATGTAGAAAGCCTCATGAATAAAGAATGTCCGCAACCAAGTCAATACATAGGTCTGATGCACTGATCCACTAAACTCGAAATTCTTCCAGAAGAGAGGGCATGGATGCAATAAGTTGTAACCTTTGGCATCAGCATAAGCACAACTCTCTTGCAACTGGAACATGGTATGTTCAGAATGGTCTAAATAAGAACCATCATCTGCCAACATGCTTGGCAATAATGGTTTGTTTTTTTCTGTATTAGTAGAAGTTTCTACCAAGAGGATGTGAGAAGGAAAAAGGGAATTTCCATTGAAATATATTCCACTTTGCTGCATTATGAAAATTTAAAAAAGAAGCCAACAGCACTCTACTGCTTTGTGAACACTGTTTTGATTATTCATTCAAAATTAGTTATTCTGATTATATGACATTAAGCTTGAAATTTTCAAGATTTACTGGTCAGAACTCCTGTGACATGGAGGCAGGAAGTGAACATCTACCAAAACAAATTAGCAATTGGCAGAAATCTTGAAGACAACAGTTGCTATAAAATATTCTTGGAGTGAGAGCATGCAGCATAATTTTGCAATGCCCTCCCCATGATGTCCTAATAATAGGCCCTAGATTAACACATCTGCAATGCATAATTTTTGTACTAAAACACCAAACTTCCATCAACTGCCTAACATCCTATTTCCTTGTACTGAGCATGACTATAAATGATGGAAATATATGATGGATTGCATCAAAATACATTTAAAAAATGGTGCTTCAGAAGCAAACATGTTTATTTTGAGGCTGAAAATTTTCTTCTTGTCTAATATATACTGTATATATATATACATACATCACAAAAAAATCACATTCTCTTTTTCTGCTATCAAAAGCTCTCTGGCATTTAGATAAGCTGATTTTACTCTTTCTTGCATATAAATATGAAAATAATGCAAAAGAAAAGAGTAAAGAGAAAAAAAACAAAAAAAAATTTTCCATGGCTATAACACATTCCTCTGGATCATCCTCATTTGACCAGCAGAAAAAGAACTAAACATATGCCCAAAGTCTTATGATTGAAAATTTTCCCCATTCCTGTTTCAAGTTATACAAACTTAAGTCAAGAGTGGAACAAAAGGAACTTTTGGTAAGTTACAATCCAAATGCAACAAAATGATACACTCAAAATGAATACCATTGCTGTGTGGTTGATGAGTAAGTCACCAGAACATTACTAGCAAAACAGGAAACTGAATGTTGCCTTCATGCACAGAAGCCACACAATCCAGATGCTAAAATGATGGGAATGCAAAGGTGGGAATAACAAAACCTTCCAACCTATCTTCATCACAAGCTCTGGGTGAGCATTTCAAATTGGCACCAACAAATCAAGAAGCACCAATCATATCAATGGAATGAGTGGAGAATCACAAAGATCATGACTTACATATAAAATTTAACACAGAACCAGTGATGTGTGCATCACCAACAAAGTTTTGTCTACTATTTTTAATTTCAAATTTCATGTGCATAAGCAGTAAGTGGTTGGGAAAATTACTATCAATAAGCTGCTGTGATTCATGAGAATTGCAAGAAAAAGAACTTATGCACAATCAAGCATTCCATCAAAACTTACGTTGTCATGCTTTTGATTTGAACTTCTGGTAGCAGTTTAGCATTCAGAATGCTGGAAATACACATGAATGCACCACTAATGATAACAGCAAAAATTTCAGATTCAAAGTAATCAAGTTGGGCCTAAAAGCACAAACAAGCCCACACTGGAAACTATGGGGAACAGGGGAATAGGCCTTAGAAAAAAAGGCAGCAAACATCACAAATATACGTAAGGCACATGGTCTTGATCTCATGTTAATGTTCCAGTCAGTTATCAAAAAGTTGCAAAAAAAAGAAACTTTAATCTTCCATCACACGTTTAGGAAAAAAAATATATTTTATCTCCTACGTGACTTTGCAGTCTGAAATTTTAATGTAAGATCACAAGGGCAAGAGGTTTGTACAATCAAGCCCCACTCTCTCCATATGTTTTCTTGTTCCTCAGTACATGTGTAACTGGTTTTTGTTTCTGAGAGGCTTTTGTCTCACCTAAAGCTTTCTTTAAATCTTTGGTAGTCGTGCATTTGGGGTGTCTAGGACTCCTTTGGACACCAGTTTTAGATGAAGAATCAGTACCTGTTGTTCTGGGGCTTCTCCGAACTGCTGAATTGGCTTCAGTGATTCTTGCTGAAGCTTGAAGAAATAACATGTCTTGAGATGTGCAGGTAGAGTTCTTTGCCTTCTTTCTTCTACCCTCTGCAGGTTTGGGAGAACTCATTTCTTGCTGGTCCTTTTCCTTGTCACCTGATTCTTCAGAGTGTGAAGCATATCCTTCACCTTTTGAACTTTCCTTAGTCACTTTTTTTTCTGATTCCTCTGCTGCTTGTTTTCCCCATTTGTGAACCTCAACATAATCATTTTCTATCTGAATTACCTGTTTGTCTTCTTCCATCAATTCAGGTGGCTCCAGACAGAGGATCTTCTGTGTCAAAGCTGATTCTTCTTTTTCCTTCACTTCAAGACTGAGGATCTCCTGTGCTGATTTCTTGGTTTTGTCACCAGATGATTCCCTGATACTGACTGCAGATGTATCATATCCATACACTTCTTCCTGCCTATCTCCTTCTCCCAGAAATGCATCCAGACCTTCCTTTCCTTTGTGGAGTATTACATCGGATTCAGTGGTGGGATTGACAGTTTGGTTGTTCAAGAGTTCACAGAGACCCCAAACAGCTTCCTCAAAGAGTGCATGGTCTGGCACTTGACTCTCTGGGCTCCTTCCTTTCCAAATGATCTTTGTACATTCCTCATTATGCAAGTCAGTCTTCTCTTTACTCAGATCATGATCATGAAATTCTGGTACATAAACTGGAGATTCAAGTGACAGACCTGTGCATTTCCATAAGAACTCTTGAGTAGTGGCTTCACTCAGGTAATTTTCATTTTCTACTTCCATCATATCACTCTGGGCAGAAGGAGGGTTAATAGTGTCGGTTGAATCCTGAACAGAGGTTTCTTGGTTCCCTGATGCATGTTCCTCAGGGTCTGACTGCCCTTTCTCTTGAGACATCTCTTCTTCCAGTTCATATGACACCTTTATAACAGGCTGACAACTTTTAAATTCATCCTTCACATGTTGCTTCACTGGCCTTTCCCTCAGAGCATCTGCATCAATGGCAATCACTGAAGGTCTCTCACTTGGAGCATCTGCAGCAATAGTAATCAATAAAGGTATCCCATTCAAAGCACCTATGTCATTGTCAACCATGGAAGGCCTCCTGCTCTGAGCAACTGCATCAATGTCAATCACAGATGGTGCTGAAGAACCCTGATTCACCATTAATGCCTCCCTTCCTGTAATGCCTTGCCTTAGCTGTAAAGGGCTTTTGCGATTCTTTTTTGCCTCTGATGGATTCCCTGACAAATTAGCACAAGGGGGAGCCTCAACAGAATGCTTCATTGAGGTCAGTATCACAGCAGCCTGGAACTCCACAGATTCTTCCATCTTTGAACTTTCCCTGCATGTCAAGTCAAAATGAGAGGTAGATCTTCCATTCAATGGGGCTTTTTCTAGCTTGGAACCCACAACAGGTTCCTCTTGGTTCTCCATTTGTGTGTACATTGGAAGGATGTCTTCCATGTTCACCATCTTCATAGTTTCTGGTGTTTCTTCAGGTGACAAAAATGGAGTATCATCTTTGGCCTCAGTTGTATCACCCCAGGCATAAGGAATGGGTTTACAGGAACAAGAAGGGATCTCTTCCATTGAGGCCAGAGAGAACAAGGTTTTGACAAGGGAATTCCCAACCGAAGGGCATGCTACACTGTATAAGGGAGAGAATGCCCTCCCTTCTCCATTGAGACTGGAAGAATCCACTAGATTATAGAAGGGAGATGTTGTTGCCTTCTCTCTCCTGAGAACAGAAGAGCCTGCTATACTGAACAAGGGAGAAGGCAATGCTGTCATCTCTCCCTTGAGGCCAGAAGATCCCCCCAAAGTGAATAAGGAAGCAGAAGTACCTCTCTTTCCCTTGGCATCTGAAGAAGCTGCTATGCTGTACAAAGGAGAGGAAGCTGCCCTTTCTCTCCAAGGCCTTATATTAGTGGTGAAAGCCTTTGACTTGGGAGCTAAGAGAGTCTGCATCTGAGACTCCAGGGCATCCATTAGTTCAGTTCTCTTTAGTCTTGGGTGCTTTGTTTTCATGATGG